TTTGCCAGAAAACCTGAATTAACCCTTCTATTTTGCCACACCATGGTACATGTGTGCTCATCTACAAATGTGTTAATTCTAAGACTCTTGTCGGGTTGTTGATACGCATACAAAACCCAAGGACAAATATCTTGACACCGAACTCTCAACTGTGTCCTCATATTTTTCACGTATCTCAGTTGCCTGAAATTTTTGACTAAGTATTGAACTACTGCATTCCTTAGAATCTTGATGTTGTCGAATTTCATCCCTGGCAGAAATGAATTAAACCAGAATGCATTATCATCCAAATGAATTAAACCAGAAATGAATTACACAAAATAGTGGACATTACCTAGCTTGAACTGTAGATCTTCCATATCAGTTGCAGGGTTAAACCAGCACACATTCTTCCTTCTAGCAGATGATCCCTCAGCCTCGGTATCACTGGGTAAGATTCTAAGCTCACTGGAGTTTTCGTATTCTGTTCCAGATGCTTCCCCAGCAGGTGCCTCCCCTTCCTGCACATCCCTTACACCTTCCTGCTCACCACTTGCACCAATGTCAAAACCTTCACTCAACCTGAAATATGTGTTTTCATCGTTATCCTCCACAGCAATATTTTCTTCCTGCTCGTACTCCGAGTCAGTAAATTCCCCTCCCAAAATACCCTCCTCATATTCATCATCCAGCTCAGGACCTTCACCAAACTCCACATCAGTTTCAGCAACCTGCACCTCTGGTTCGGCATCATGCAACTCATGTTCAGCAGCTTGCGCCTCTTGTTCAACAACATGCAGCTCCTGCTGAGCCTGCTGCTGTGGTCCAGAAGCATGCACATCAATTTCAGCAGGCTGCACCTCTGCTTCGACATCATGTTCAGCAGCCTGCGCCTCTTGTTCAGCAGCATACAGCTCCTGCTGAGCCTGCTGCTGTGGTTCAGCGTCATGCAACTCATGTTCAAACCTCAACTGTGGTTTAGCATCATGAGGTTTCTCTGGTTCAGCAGCATGTACTTCTGATTCATGTGAGTCTACTTCAGCCCCTATAAAATCAACCTCTGTATACTCATGCTCTGTTCCATGGACTGTATAAACTTCCTCTTCATCTGCTTCCATGTCATCCACTTCATCAACTACATACACGTCATCCCCTTCTACTGATTCATCAAAAATCTCAATTGCATAGCATGGTTGCTGCTCATTCAATGCTTCACCGGACTTTTGAACCTTCACCAACTCCTCACCAGTCTCACAATCAAACACTCGAACATCCTTCTGTTCTGTTTCATCCCAAGGCAACTCCAAAACCTCAACTACAGGCAAGCAATACAGTTCAACTGTCCTATTATACCAAGTCACTTCACTAAAATCATGAAATCTGAGTCTTTAACCAACCAAAATGAATCTTCACTCATTCTTTTCTTCTCTATCTTGTACAGATATCTAATTCTATCAGAATATCCTAACATCTTCACGGCATTGTCCAAAAGAAATCTATTGAAGAAATCAGGGTCGATATAGTCTATATAACTTATTTTCCCATGCTCATACACAAAATTTCTCATCTTCTGCAATAAAATTCCACCATGATGAAGCCATATGCTGAAATACTTTGAATTTCCCCTGAAAAAATACCGAAAAAAAGGAAGTTAAGCCCTAGCCCTTTTCAGTTTGAGCAACGAACATATGCAAAAAAAATAGTACACAAGCATTACGCCCTAATACACCAAATCACTTAAAATTTTTGAATTCCCCAGTACGTGAACACAACCGAACAGGGGAACTTCATAATCATACAACTTCACACCATAAACCGAAAACAAGGGAAGACACTTACCATACACGGGTTGGGGAAGAGAGCCTCGAATGTGGGCTACAATATCCACTGGATGCTCGTCTTCTTCGAAGTCCGTTTCGTCTTCTTCGTGGGTTTTCGCAGGTTCCATAGTGGATGGTGAGTGGAAGAAAGTTGCAATTGACGTGTTTGATGTTGAGGAGGGAAATGTGTGTAATGACCATGTTGCCCTTCACTTATTTGGGGAAAATTCTTAAAATTATCATTAAAGGGGTCAACTGACGGTTTTGGCGGTCAAACAGACGGAAACCGTCATTTTGGACTGGCCCCATACATTTTTTAAAAGTTTGGTATATCTGGTGGCACAAACTAAAGGTTTGGACAAAGTCTGCTAATAAACGAAAGGTTTGGTACCTCAGTTACAATTTTCCCAAAACTTGGTGCTCTGTCTTTTAAAATAGATCTTGAATATACTATTTTATTTGCATCTAGAATTTTGGTTTTCTGATTTTATTTATTTTTTTTTTTTTTGCCTATTGTTCTATTGTACTTGAAATGCTATATCTATGCAGGTGTGAATTTTTAAACCACATAATGAATAATACTTAAAGTACTAAAACAAAATTGTCAGTGAAACAATCGTTCCCATAGATCTCAAGTCTTATGAAACCAATACTCAATCAATTGGCTAAGCAAAATTGACCTCTTCGAACTGGTGATTTAAGTTGACTATTCATTTTTTTGTTCTTAGTTCTTTATTGTTGGATTTTTATTTTTAAAAGCTTACAAAGGTTTAAAACTACCGATGACTTTTTCTCCGTGTTTTTTCATTTTTTTATTATTATTTAAATTTAACCTTATAAGAAAAAAAATTGAAAATTGTGAAATCAAACGTTATTGACATTTCCTTTGGTGAAATTAAATTTTTTTCCGCTAACATAGCTAAGTCCTATTAATCTATTAACTTCTGTCCTTATATGGAAGGAATGAACACCTTGCTAATCACATGGAGGGACCACCACACTCATGGCAAATTTGCATGTAGCATGATAGAGATACTTGTGTTACTGAATACAGTTTTCTGATTTCTAGGTCAAAGAAGTCTTTCATGAGAAACCTGAGAAAGGCATACATCATCCTTATGGGATTGCCTGCAAAAAGACAAGCTTGAGGGAGGTCACCTATAAGAGTTTTAGCTTTAGATTTTTTTATTTTTATTTTTTAAAATGTGGCTTGTTAAGAGGTCGGCATTGTTCTATAGCTTGCCTTTTGAGCCTCAGAAATACTGAATGCCATTCTCATTTACTCAAGTTCTCCCTCGTTTTTTTCGGACTCTATTCTGGAAAATATAAGCATGTCAAGTTGTTTTCCTTGCCTTTAGACTTCAGCATTTCCATCCAGAATGAATGATTATGTCCTTCCCATTGTTGGCATTTTGGCTGATGTTGGACTAACAACACATGACTCCATAATTTTTTTTAACCGATTCATTAGATTCCCAATATCGCACTCAACCAACCTGGACTATTGGTGCTCTCTGTTTTTCTCATTTTCCTTATTCTGTTAAGTGTTAATGTTACTTAAATTCAGGTTGTGGTTATTGGATGAGGAGATGGTTGTGTCTTACGTGAAGTGGCTCACCATTCTTCTGTTGAGAAGATAGACATCGGTGAGATTGACAAGATGGTCATTGATGCAGGTTACTTAAATTTTTTTCTCTTTATTTTCATTTAGTAATACTTTCCTCATTCTATTTTATTTCTTTGGATATTACACGTTTAACCTAAACTACACACTGCGCTCTGCTGGATTCTCTTGATCTTAAATTTTGAGATTTTCAAGCATTGTACCTGAACCTGTTGAGTGTTATTAGATGAAATTGTGTTTAAATCCTTATTTCGTTCTCATATGCATTATGATTTATTTTTAGTCTATTATTTTAATCAAATGAATGTTGACTTTAATGTGTTTCGTTGTTCTTTTAAACATTCAATATGCATGAACGAAATTTTGAAATTATACAAATGATTTTGAAACTATACTGTTAAAAACTATTCATATTCGAAATTCATTATTGTACTTACCAATGATTTATTCACACTTGTTGTTAATATGTGAAAATATATGTCTCATCATCATATCAATCAACCTAGAAAGAAATGAATTGATGATCTTTGTTAATTTATCTAATTTTCTCATAGTTGTGCTTTTGCAATCCTCTGTCATATCCCTTTCAAGTCTGTGTCAATTATGAGAAATTGCTGATAGTTTAACATTCGTCCATCACATCCTTTCAGTTAACTGATGCATATTCTAAACCAACATTCAATTGGTCATATTGTAAATAGCACTATTGAATTAAATTTTATTACTCATTTGCTTTTGATTGAACAAGAATAAAAGAGTTGGTCTTTGTAACAGCAACAAAAAGGTTAGAAGAAGAACCTGTTGCTAAACTTTTGAACTTATTAAATCTGAAAGTATGATCAATCTTCTCTCAAGAGGTCTTCACATACAATGAGCGATGCTTTGTTATTCATAACCATGTGCATTGTTGACCTCCCCGTGGATGTTCATGTAAAGGATGGCTCTGTTTATACTAGAAATTTTTACTCCCCTTACGTCCACAATGATTATGGAATTCTTATAGTTTTCAAAAATCTCTTATGAGTTTTTTTCATTATTTGTCATCCTTTATCAGTTTCGATTATGTTGGGAACTGATGGTGCTTTTGCTATTTTGTGATGATTTATAGTTCAATTTTGCCATCTGATCCTTGATTCTTTAGCATGCTGTTAATTCATTTATCATTTTTTGCTGATTAAATTAAAAAGTCGAGATTTCAAGTTTTGGATTCTGTTAATTATTCTACTAAGAACCAAGCTTAGGGCAACTCCTTATTTGTGTACATTAGATAAGGTGTAAATTAAGTACCTTTCAAATTTATAGTACTACTCAATAGGCTCAGTGATGATGATTAGAGTTATTGTCTTCATACCTTTTTATTTAATTTATATATGTTTGATCTAGCCATTGTGTTGAAAAATGCAAGGATGATTAAAATGGGGAACTGAGTTGCAAATGATAGTATGATAAAGACGCTTATATTTCGGTCAAAAGATCTTGTCAAAGTTGTTGCTAAGTCACGTCAATGCTTTCATAAATTTAATTTTCAATTAAAATATGCTATTTCTGTAATAAATTCTAGCCTGTATTTAGGAAGTTCTTATTCCTTCAAATGGAGTTTCTGAATGTGTAAGGAGAGATGGTGAGAAGTTTCCTATATAATTTACCTATTCTAGAAGGACCTAGAAGAAGAATGGAATAGCTGACTAGGAAGTAATAGAATTTGTTATTGAAGGGATGATTGGACTTAGTTAGTTAGAGGAGATCTATAAATAGAAGTAGAGGGAACTAAGGCTTGCAAGAGCATTGAGAAGGATCAAGGCGAGAGTATTGGGTCT